TTGTATTTCGACAACAATGGGATGATTGCTCAAGCGAAGGAACCCAGGTCTCATCAGAAATCCAAGCATGTTCTGAGGAGGTTCCAACTAATCAGAGAGATCATGACCCGAGGAGATGTAGCAGTGGAAAGAGTTCCATCCGAAGATAACATTGCAGATTCACTAACAAAGCCATTATCTCAGATTGTCTTTGAGCGTCACAAGAGTCTGATGGGGATCAGACACATAGGTGATTGGCTTTAGGTCAAGTGAGAGATTGCTAGTCATATGTGCCCTGCAAGCCAATCACTTGAGTGATGACACGTGTGACTTGACACGCAATCTTTTTGCTTATTATATTTTGACATTTGTCACTTTATATTGCTTGTTGCATATATATATATATATATATATATATATATATATATATATTGTGATGTCTTTGGATATGTGCAATGAGAATCAGATCGTGATGAGATCACGATATTGAGACCGATTCGCCTTTAAACACAGATCCTAAATAATCTCGGTCATAGGTTACTCAAGAGGGACATCGAGATAACCAGACAGACCAGTGTGTTGTATACCCGTCCATATGATAGATGCAGCTGGTCTCATAGTAACTCGTGTGGGGACACTAGGGATACAATACAGGTGCTCATTGGAGAATGAGTTCACTGATTGATCCGCTTACGGAATATTGAATAGTTGATGATGCTTTATTGTCAAACAGTGATTCTGTAGTCCTAGTGGTGTATCTGGTCCTTAGACTTGAGACACCAAGGATGTCCTGTATGAGTGCTCCACTCTTTGATACTAGACTTATATGTTTGGATGTACCAGATCTAGCTAAGCCGATCATTGGGAGTGACAATCAACCTTACGAAAGCTATTGAGTGTCGATAGAGGATCATCCACTCTCGATGTCATGAGAGGAATGTCACATGTGTTCTTACTCAGACAAATCCCTGGCCAGGGTCATTCAGATTGAGAGAGAAAGAGTTCTCCGGGAGAATCCGATTAGAGCGAGACTCGAGTAGAAACCGTATGGGTCTAACAACAACATGCCCGGTATACGGTCTTTGGGATATTAGATGGATGAGGGACTATAGGTACACAATAATTGAGGACAAACAGGTCCAATGGATTTGATTCCCCGGTATCGTCTGGGGACTGCAGCGTAGTGGCTTAGTACGTCCGCAGTTGATGAGTCGAATGAATTATTATGAAGATAATAATTCACTGAGCCAGAAGGAATTCTGATAAGTATGACTCACGACCACCTCGATATTGGGCCTAGAGGGTCATACACATATGGTAGACATTGCGATGAGTAGAGGTTCGGATATGAGATATCCGCCGGAGCCCCTATCTTATTGGATATCCAATAAACCCCTAAATTATTGGATCATATGGATGCGATACAATAAGCACCTACTAGAGATTATTGGATAAGGATCCACTAATCTAAGAGGCTTGGGTAGTTGGATAAAGATCCAATACCCAATAGAGCAGGATCCATTAGGGTTAAGTTGACAAGAGACCTCTATAAATAAGAGGGAATCAATGGTTCATAGGCTAGAGCCTTTTGCTTGCCTCTCCTATTCTCCTCCCTCTCTCCACCTCAAAGCAGGTCTGGAGTTTTGAGGAGCGTTGTCGCAGCCCTACTGTGTGGATCACCACTAGGGAGGAGGGTGCTTGACCTCCTTCACCCTCTCCTAGAGATATGCAGGGATTCAAGGATATACGATCTCCTTAGGTAACACAATCTATCTCACACGTGGTTTTCTGTTTCGCGGATTTTTTTGCACCAATCTTCGCACGACAACGAACATATCTTTGAGAATTGAGGATTTTGTTTTCTGTTCTTCCACTGCGCATGTGATGTCGCCCCCCAAGATTTTCCTACAACTTGGGTACTTCACCAAGTTCCACCCAAGTTGCCCCTCTCCTTGGTGTGTATCAAGATGATGGTGGCCCTTATGCCTATCATTCTATGGGTCAACCCTCGGTTGAGTCTGATTTTCACATTAGCATTAAGTGTACCTTCATTTGGTGTTGTATGTGGTCGTTCCCTCACTTGATCTCGCAATGCGTTCACCAATGCATTACCTTATGCGAGATCATGTGACGACTTATTATCGCTCGCTCGATCCATTGAGCCTTATGGAGCTGTCATCTTTAGGTACCCCCTCAACATGTGCAGTTCATTACACAAGATTCACCCTTTGGAGAATCGAGACTTATCCCTACTGGATATCTATCATATTGAAGTAATTTTTCTCTTTATATCATCTCATTTGGAAGTTTCGAATACCACCATCCCTTTGGACTACTCCGCCATGCTGAACAAATTGTATATTTTTCATCACCATAAATGCACTTGCTAGATTGAGACTCTTCGCCAATACAGGTCCCTGTTGCGCCCCTCAAGGCCTAGCAATATACTGAACTTACTACACACTTTAACCTCCTACGGATGTATCGTTCCCATGCTGAAGAAAAAGTTTTCATACTCTATGGCGTCTAGTTTCAATCGCCTTAGAATGCTCACAAACAGTCCATCGTCCGCATACAAGCCTTTGCATAAGTACCAAATTCTTTGAGTTAACAATCCTCCTCACCTCTATGAGCTTTGTACAACTCTTTTAGTCGTCGAGCAACCCAACCCTCATTGCACAATCTCATCCTTAGGTAAGCACCCCGCTTGCCTTGAACATCGTCAAGTTTGGTTGCCAACATCAAGCTGTAGCTCGAACTCAACCATCTCAACCTTTGTGTGCTACGCGTTCTTCTTAGCTTGCTTGTCCTCGTGGTACCTCTCACGTGAAGGTAGTGATTTCAATAGGCGCTTGGGCGCTCGCCTAGGTGCTCAGGCGAAGCGAGGCGAGGCCCAAGCACCTCGCTTCAAAAAGGCGCCGCTTGAGCGCTTGCCCGAGCCCAGGCGCTAGGCGCTAGGCGCTTCAGGCGAGCGCCTGGGTTAAAACAAGCGACCGAACCAGATTTTTAGGTCTGGTTGGTCTCAGGTGCTTTAGTTGGTTCAATCGAACTAACTAAATCCCCGATATCAAGCTCCCTCTCGCGATTTCCCCAACTTCCCCAACCCAAAACTTGTGATCGCGATTTCTTCTCCGTTGTCGCTGCTCTCTAGTGCCGCTGCCACTATCGCTGCTCGCCGCTACTATCGCTACTCGCCGCTGCCACAATCGCTACTCGTCGTTGCTGTCGTCGCTCGCCACTGCTGTTGCCGCCGTTGTCGCTCGCCGCTCTCGCTGTCACTCGCAGCTCCCGTTCCCACTCCCGCTATCGCTCGCCGCTTCCGCTGTCACCGTCGCTCGTCGCTCCCGCTCCTACTCTAGCTACGGCTGTCGCCTGCTACCGCTGTCGTTGCCTCAGTAGCCTCGGTCTTCTCACACTCTTCTCACTATATTGTTAATAGTATATTAACAGTATACTGCTAACTGTATACTAATAATAGTATTTTTATTTATTAGGTTAATAATATATTATTTTTGATTTTAATACTATTAATTTTTATTTATTTAATAGTATTTTTTATTTAAAAAATAAAAAATATACTATTATGATTTATTTATTTATTGTGATTTTGTACCTAATTTTCTTAATTTAATAGCATATTTTTTTATTTAAATAATTATATTTATTAATTATATTATATATTTTTATATTTTAGCACCTCGCTTCACTCGGGCGAGCGTCTAGGCGAGCGCCTAACACCTCGGGCGTTTTTGGACCTTGACGCCTAGTGCTTTTTAAATCACTGCGTGAAGGGTGTTTGTATTTAGTTCATTCGTCTAAATGCAAATCTCATATGTTTGCTCCTTTGAGTGACTCTATTCCCAATGTCTCTACGCTAGTTTCCCTCAAATGATCACATGTGTTGGCTGCCCTCAACGCAGCCCCACTAGGTCCCCACATTTGCATGTGAAGTGTTCATAAATATACATGTCTCACTCTAATATCGTATGTCACAGACTTAGCATGTTATGCCTAAGTCATGTGGCACCATTGCGTGTTTGTTCGCAAAGGGCCGATCTCCTCAAAATCTCTTATGGTCCATTAAGGACTTGTAAAAGAAAAGACGGATTAAAAGAAGTATTTAACTATGGATCCCACAAGCAGATATTTTAACAAACACTTGATATATAATACATATTATAAACATAGACTTTGCAAACTCTAAACGATCATACGATAAATGGTCCAAGGTGGTCCGCCACGGCTAAAAGTCCCCACAAGTGTCAACATGAAACTACTGTACAACAAGACAACGAACTAACCTTAGACACTACCCCAAATGCCCATCCAGCCACATACCACTCGGGTAGCTCCAAGGTGATATGTTGGCTGACACTCTGCACCACTTTGCGGAGCTAGAAAACCCCCAAAATGGTTCCCTAGATGATATGTTTTTAGATAATTTTTTCTTTATGCAACCACTGCATACAATACAACCTACGTTTACAGGACTAAAACGACCATAAAATCTAACCAAAATGAAACTGTCAAGTCTACTAAAGCCCTCTACATGCTGTGTAAAACATAAACAAAACCAAAAGACACAAACATATTAAACATTATATCGAACACCCTTTGATAACAAGTTACTGTGCCTTACCCAGCATGAAAATTAAAGTTCGCTTTCTCAACCATTGTGATTAAAGTTCACTTTACCTAGTGAGCTTCTTCATATCCCGTCTTTACACTTGTTGAACGTACCGGTGGGTATTGACACTAGGTATGGGTGCTTGCCTCCATGCCAATGCAAATGATTCAGCATGCTGTAGGCATAATTACTGAGACAGGCAGCACAACCCATTGCAAATACTGTGCCTTACCCAGCATGAAAAATTTTGTATATCCAAAAATTCCACAACATTTAGAAACAAACAACAATCCTTGTTCTTGATTATGAATAAAACTTCATGAGAATTGTCCATAAAGCAATAATTAGGCCTAATCAACCATAATGCTATAAAATTAGAAAGCCAGATGCACACCAAGGGTAGCCATGATAGCAGCAAATATGACGATCCCGACTGGTTGAATGCGTAGCTTGCCAATTGGGTATTTGTATATATTGATATGCTTCATGGATAGATGAGTGAACCAGAGGATACCACCCGCCAAAAGATCTAGTAACGAATCCAGCGTTGACGCAGCAATAGCTATCGATCCACTTCGTATGGTAGCATAAATCTGTAGGCAAAATCCACTTCAATTGCAAGTTGTACATGAGATATCCATGATGAACTTAACAAGCTCAAACAGTCACACAAAAATTTCTCTGGTTTTATTTCCTTTCCAAGGAGATGACAATAGCAAAAGAGGAAACTATACGAATCAATCACATTTAAAACCTAAAAATGAAAGATCACCTTTAATGCCAAGAGAGCTACATTTGCGGAATTAGAAATCTTCATTGCAAATTCACTCTGTACTTGCTCTTCAATATCCTGAGCCTCATCAACGTTGCTAGGTGTTCCTAACGAATCTACTTCCTCGAAAGAACTCAGGGTGGCAAACTGTTTCTCATAGTATTCCTTTTCTCCTGCAATGAGAAATAAGAAAGAGGACATTTGAGCAAGCATTGGAACACACAACCTGGAGACCAGCATCAACTTCTTGATTCTTTGATGTAACCATCATTTTCTGTCAACAACTTGTCAAAATTGAGGGATATAAGAAAATGACAATAAATTTTGGAAACAAAAGGGGGAAATGATTAGGAATCGTGATTTAAGATAAATGAATCAAATAGGATATGTAAGTCAATCATCTCAGTTGACGTCAGAAGAGATATATCTTTGAACTACCGCTACAGTTTCTGTATAGCTCATGCCATCGTTGCATCCAGAGCGAAAAGAAAAAGGAATAAAAGCTGAAGCTTTTAGCCAATCTTATCGATATCAGCTACAAAAAACTCATAATTAGGAAGATAAATGGTTGCGGTGATCTTTCAAAACGCAATCAACTCCAAAGAAATATCGACATTCACTGAAATTAACAGGACGATATATATAGAGAAAGAGGGAGAGGGAAAAGCCGCTCTTTAAGCAATGGGAGAGGACACTGGTGAAGGATTCCTGACCTTCGTTGAGGTCTTTGGTCCGGGAGACGTCGATGGTGAAGGGCCACTCGGGGTCGACGCCAAGCCTCACCTTCTCCGGCAGCCGGGCTACGAACTCGCCCCTCATCAAGTGCACCGAGTTCTTCCGCGCCACCCTGGCTGCCGCCTCGGCGCTCCGCCCCCGATCTGCCACCAGCAACGGCACCCTCACCTCCTCTGCAACTCTCCCATTCTCCCCTCCCTCCATCTCTCTTCCCCCCTCCCACCTCTCTCTCTCTCTCTCTCTCCCTCTCCCTCTGTGTCTCCGAGCTAAATGAGACCAATGATCCGATACAAACGTCGAAGAAAGCTCCCCAATAATCGACGAGGATATATATAGATATAGATATAGCACAAATCCCGCCTCTCGCTATTGTCGCTCCTATTTGTCCTTTTTTTCTTTCATTAATTAATTTGGTATATAAATGTAGTGATGTGTATTCAGATTTTAGACAGTAATCAGAGGTTAGAAATATAATTATACTGCAATTGTTATAATTTCTAAGAAGACTAAAGGTGAAGGAGATGCCAACGATATAGCACAAATCCATTGTTTTTTTCGGTTGAATAATTCTTTAAAAAATAAATTATAATCCAATATCTGTTTACTGTATTAGTTATTTATTCAACCATAACTCATGGAAATATTAACCCCCTCAAAAATTTATCTATGGCACACGTTTTTCGTCCGATATATTGGCATCCGTGTCGTTCTTCGTATTCGGGACCCACTTTTTGGTGCAACCACAAGGCGGATAGTTGCTTGGGTAGGTTTTATTTTCTGAGGTGTCTACGTGATTCATGAGGATGACATGGGTTTCACAGCATCAGATGTGGTTGTATCAGTCTGAGAGACCAACTCATGCACTACCGACGGCCTGCAGAGTGCACACCAGCGGTGGCAGTCAGTGTTTCTCTTCATAGTATATTTAATGGACTCATGTGTCAACTCAATGGAGATGGGGTTCATCCGCTGCAGCTGATATTATAATGGTCTTTTGCCTCCATTTGGCAGGTGAGAGCAGTGAGTCGCAGTTGCAAGACATGAAAGATTCCTCCTGCCAAACCCATTTAATGCCAGTGTTATGATCCGAGTAAGAAAGAAGACAAAATAGGAAGAGACATCTGTTTCCTTCTCCACTTCTGGAGACATATGTGAGTCTTTCCAGGAGTGACATGATGAAGCTTCTGCGAGACTTCAATGGCCTTAGTCAGGTCTGCTGGTAGCCCAACTTCTATTTCTCGTTCCATAATTTTGGGGAACTGCCAAATGACACTGTTTGTTCCGAAAAGGAAAATGTTTTTTAATGGCAAGAAAACTTTCTCAAAAAAAAATCTGGGATATTTATCGAAAAAAGTTAGGCGATTACAAGGAAAAAAATCACTCTATAATTCCTAAATAGTCACTCTATATTTCTAATGTTCTGAAAATATTTCTTCAAAAGTTGTCATTTTTTTCCACCTAATTCAAAACCTGTGTTTTTCCGCCAACTGTTTATCGTGTTTGTGAGTTTTTAATCAAAAAAATACTGTACATTTGAACTAAATATTGATTTCATAATATTTTTGAAATAAAAATACTGTGAAATCAATAGTTACTTTAAAAATATTTTTTGACTAGTCTTACACTATTTTTTAGATAAAAACACATAAAACATTATAAACAGTTGGAGTGGTCCGGCCCATTAAATGAGCAAAAAATATATATATATTCTCAAACAATCATCCAAACAAATTAATATTAATTTATTTTTTTTTATCAAATGATGTCCCACATATTTGTTTTTATCAAAGTTATCTTTTTTTTCATTTTGATAAAAATATTTTTAGATTTTTATTTAAATAACTTGATCATGTTATATTAAAAAATATTTAATAGATTCTATTATAATAATATTTAATTGATTCAATAAAGTTTTAAATTGATTTAATGAAAGTTGATGGAGTTACACTTCAAATTGAATTAATTTACTCGTAATGAAATAACCTATTTAAAAATATTTTTAATTTTAATTATTAATTATCATAAAATCTTGAAAAATAATACTAGTTGTTTTAGTATCATAATAAGATAGGTTAGTGAAAGTTTGAATTAGTTCATTACTTGATTTTGTAAAAGTTTGAATTTGTTTGTTGAATATTTAGTAAGTTTACACTCAATTGTATAACATACTAAAAATATTTTCAATTTTAATTATATAATATATTTGATAAGGAGTACACAGTTAGTTAATTGTTATGTGATATCTAATCACACCCATTATGAGCAAGAGTCCAAAACATATGATTAAGTATAAAAGTTCATTTTCAACATAATTAAAAAGGAGGTTATATTTTTTTGTTCATATTCGTATATCTAAGGTTACTAAGTTGAGTATCGAAAGAGCCGAATATAAAATCTTTTTTGATCTCAATAATACTTCGGGAGTATGGTGTTTCCACGTTGGAGGCACATCAAATAATTCTATACATATATGTCCGAGTCACATCGGATTGATCAAGATGTCAGCAACACACATAATATCATTGTAAAAGTTTTGTGTGTATTATGAAGATTATGGATTTCAACATTTATCGATGCGTTTAGATGAGCCGTATAAAGCGATTTCTTGGAACAGATTATGCATAAAACAATGTTAAAAGGTGTAATAATTTCGGTTAATGCTACTTGCCAAAAGTACTGCTTCAAGCGATTGCTTCGGATATGATAGTTAGTTTTAATCCTAAGTCGCTAGGAAAAGGTTATCAGGATATATAATTAATAAAATAATTATAATAATTAGTTATCTTTAGTATTTTAGTTTTTAAACTTTTTAAAATTATGTTGGGATTCGTGAAACATTTAATCTCGTTTTCGTTTCGTGGATTACGAAAATACAATATGTGTTCAATGATAAATCGAAATGAGACATAGCCAACACATTTTTATCGATATACTATATGATATTTCTGTTAATAGAGTTTGACAATGTAAAGAAAAATATGATTAAATATTTTATTTTTATAAATATAAAAATCTTAATATAATTTTTAAAAATATAAAAATTAACATACTAAAAATAAAAAAATCTATAATTAGCCCATAATTACCCATACTCAGTTTTCGTTCTCAGGGATATTTTTCTGATCATCTTTTCATTTTAAACTTAATAGTAAAAAATAAAATATTAAAATAAATAAAATATTTTGGTGAAAATGAAACTGAAGGACATAATTTAAGAATCATATTTGATGTACCAGTTGATCCACCTGCCTTATCATTGGACGAAGAAATGCTCAATCAGATGCGAGATCGGATTAGTGCAAGTGATGAGGGTGGGTTTGATTCCATAAACTGGATCACAATCATCGACACATGTTCACCAACCAAATCATATCACGGTCGTCAATTGAGTGAGATGAGACGACGCTAAAAAGCGTGTTTGTGGATTGAACGGCCGAGATGTAAGACTTAGAAGATGAATGGGACAGATGGTGCTTGCATTTATATGGCTCGCCGAGTTACCGTCTTAGTTCTGTTCTAATCTTCCTCCTCCGTCGCCGTCTTGGAAGCCCACCGTCGTCGTCGTCGTCGTCGTTTTCTCCCACTACCGATGGGCTCGACTGGGCCGCGGTGATTTGGTGATGACCCATTTGTTCTACCTTCTCGGCCGATTCGTTCCCATCGAACCCCTGGTGATCTTCCCTTCCCTCGCTCTTTTCGCTCCTCGGAGGCCGATTAGGGTTTGATTGCCGGATTTTGTCGTTCCCGTTCTTGTGGTTTGGAGCCAATGTCGAAGAAGGTAATTACGAGAGAGGAGTGGGAGAGGAAGCTCAAGGATGTCAAGATTAGTAAGAAGGACATGAACAAGCTCGTAATGAACTTTCTTGTCACTGAAGGCTATGTAGATGCTGCCGAGAAGTTCCGGATTGAGTCCGGCACCGAGCGTATCCTTCCCTTCTTTTTCCCCAAGAAGAGAAGATTTCTTGGGATTTTTTTCAGGCTTTTCTCGATCTCTTGAGTTCTTTTGATGGAAAATCTTGATTTGGTAGCGTGTGAATTGCTTCTCCTTATGAGTGATTAGCGGACATTGACCTCGCCACGATAACTGATCGCATGGCTGTCAAGAAGGCTCTGCAGTCTGGCAACGTCGAAGATGCTATCGAGAAAGTTAATGATTTGAACCCTACGGTAAGATAGAATCTCATCACGCTGCAATAGGTGAAACCATGGCACTTCTCTTTGAGGCTTGTGTTCGGCATGTTCTAATGATAGCTAAACATGATGCTTAATGACTTTGTGAATTAGGTCAGAAAAGGGTTTTGTAGCTGATGAAATTACCAGGGTCCCAGGTAACGTATGGGGCACACCCTTGGCTGAAACTTTAGTGGGATATTAGAGTATGAATTAAAGTTCTTTATGTTCTCATTTCGTTATCAAGAATGTAATATTGGTCATTTGAAACAATGAGCACTTGGAAATGATCTCCGGAAATAATTCAGTTTTTTGTTATGATGTGGCTTGACTTAATCCAATCTAAACAATAAGTGCAATCTGATTTTCATCTGTGGGCTTTGGCATCGTGTATGTTGACATTGTTGTTCAATATTGTTGTGTTTTAATATGTCTATGAAGGCTATTTATTAATAAAAGAAACCTTTTGACCCTGAAACAAAAATCTTTGCCACATTCCTGACTCTGTGTTTTTCAATTTGCAGATTCTAGATACCAATCCCCAACTCTATTTCCATCTACAGCAACAGCGATTGATTGAGTTGATCCGCACTGGCAATGTAGAAGAAGCTCTAGAGTTTGCCCAGGAGGAGCTTGCGCCAAGGGGAGAAGAAAATGTAATCCCTCCTTTTCATATTTTCATAGACATCTACCGGTATTGGCCGATCATTTTGTTCCCAATTGTCAGCTAGGATGGCATGTTTTCTTATCTGGCTTGCATATACCCTACCTGTACCTGAAGTAGCCTGTGACTGCATGTGTTGGTGCCATGTTGAGGTTGCTTCAACTCAACCTGGTGGGTGTCAAGTGTCAGATGAATAGCCTTCCTGTATGTAGGGGTTTGGTTGGAAGTAGAATGTGTTGATTCATAAGTTGGAATTTGAGATGAGGTTTTCTTTTAAATTTGAGGTTCCTTAGTTAAATAGAGATTTCAATGTGCTAACCCATGACCTAATGGAACTAAATTCTGGACTTGGCAGCAAAATTTTCTTGAAGAATTGGAGAGGACAGTTGCGCTTCTGGCATTTGATGATGTAAAGAATTGTCCTTAT